GGGGGGGTATATGGGGGTGCAGCTCTGCTCCACACCCCCATCTGTGACAGTACAGACCGGTGACAGCCGGTGACAGGTACAAAATCTTTAGTACGACGGGGGGAGGACAGGGACACTGCGACCCCCCCAGACACCCCCCCCAAACCCTCAACCAGACCCACACGTGACACCCCAAAACTCCTCCCGACCCAACAGCACCCTAAAAACGACCCCCGACCCCCCCCAAAGGCCACCATGTCACACCAACCCGGGGGGACCCCGGGGGGGCCTGTAGGTCACAGCCGGTGGCCCTGGGGGTGTCGGTGTCCCCGGGGGGGGTTGCCGCCCCCCCCCCCCGAGGAGGTGGGTGCTGGTGGTCCCAGGGGGTGACAGTCGGTGTCCCCGAGAGGGGGACAATTGGCGTCCATGGACAGGCTGGCTCTGTCATCCCCACGGGGGTGACAGTCAGTGTCCCTGGGGGGGCTCACAGTCGGTGTCCCCAAGAGGGTGACAATCGGCACGTGTGGGGTGGTTGATGCCGGTGTCCCCAGGGGGGTCACAGTCGGTGTCCCCAGGAGGGTGACAGTCTGTGTACATGGAGAGGCCAGTGCCGGTGTCCCCGGGGGTGTCACAGTCATTATACACAGTTCCGGTGTCCCCAAGGGTGTGCCAGCCATTGTTGCCAGACAGGTGACACTCACTGTCCCCGAGAGGGTGACAGTCGGCGTGTACGGTTCCTGTGTCCCCGGGGGTGCCCCACCCGTTGTCCCCAGGGGGGTGACAATCACCACACACGACCTCTCTGTCACCAGAGGGGTGACAATCGGCATCCACGGTCCCACCGTCCCAACCGTCGTCCCCGGGGGGGTCAGGCCCCCACCACCAGAGCTGTAGGCGATTGTCCCCCCCCGGGGGTGGCCCGTCCTCATCCGTCCCCTCCTCGTCACTGTCCCACGGCGCCGGGAACAACCGCTGCCCCGAGGCGGTGGCCAACAGCGGGAGCCCGGGGTGCAGGCTGGGGCGGGGGGGGACATGGCAACACCCAGGTGTCCGGGTGACCCCCACCTACACCCCAGGGGACCCAGGTGTCTGGGGGGGGACACCCAGGTGTCCGGGGGGTCTGGGGGGGGGGACACCCCGGCGTCCGGGTGTTACCTGGTACCGTTGACGCAGTCGCAGAGGGCGCGGAAGCGCAGGTGGGGGGGCAGCAGGGGGGGGTCCCCCGTCCCCGGGGGGGTCAACGTGTCCCAAACGGTGACGAAACCGTCTGTGTCACCGCTCACCAGGAACCGCCCCGTCCTGGGGAGGAACAAAGGGGGGGTGTCAGCAGGACCCAGGTGTGCGGGTAACACCCCCCCCCCCAAAAAAAGGTGTCTGGGGGGGTCACTCACGGGTCGAGGTCGAAGGTCACGCGCTGGTTGGTGCCCACCCGGCGCTCCAGCGCCAGCAGGGGGCGCTCCGGGCACCGCAGGTCCCAGCACAGGATGTGGTGGTCCTGGGGGCGGGGCTAGTGTGGGACACGCCCT